CCTAGCCATGCGCTCCTGTGCCTGCGGCCCTAGCCATGCGCTCCTGTACCTGCGGCCCTAGCCCTAAGGTGATCAGATAACACCCCTGTGCATTCTCCCCCCACAGGCGTGGTCATGGTGTACTTCTCCGGGTACCTGATAGAGGCCACGGGGTCCTGGGCATCGGTCTTCGCCCTCATCTCCGTGGTGAACCTCCTGGGCCTGTGCACCTTCCTGACCTTCGCTGAGGCACGACGGGTCGACATCGAGGGGGCCAGGGTCAAGTACCACAACATCCACATCTGACGGCCTCACCGAACATCCGAACAGGATGGGCATGGGGGGGGGGGGGGGGAAGAGATGGCAATCAGGGAGGCTGTTGGCTTCTCCCAGACTTTTACAGCTGTGGAGCCAGATCGGTGTGGGACCAAGCAAGCCTTTAAGTATGAATTTTTCCGTTTTTTTCTCTACTTCCTCCCTGACTTCCTGTTTACTACAAAGGAGTGAGTAATTCTTATGTTTTCAACAATATGTGCACATCAGCTGGCTAAACGTCAGTTATCATGATGCCAAAGTGGTCAGTTATACTCCTATGAGGTGAGAGGAAGGTGGGGGGCGCGCCTCCCCATCATTAAATCACCTTTTAGGGTGCTTTTTTTAATGGACTCGAGCTTTATGGTTCACAAGGGCAGCGGCCTGTGTTTGGGAGATCAGAAGAGGTCACATGATTGTGTGTGTGTGTGGGGGTACACAATTAACCCTTACCCTCCTTGTGTTGCTCAGTGTTTCCAAATTCAGCCTTTGGGGACCCACACACAGTCCATGGCTTTGCTCCCTGGGAGGGAGCAAAAACATGGACCGACCGTGGGTCCCGAGGACTGGATTGGGAAGCCCTGCTCTAGCTGCAGGTGAGGATGCCACCCAAGCCTTGAGTGGATGTTATTTTGCTGTGAATCAGTGTAAAAATCATCATCATCATCCGCCTCACGATCTTCATCGAGTGCTTACAGCTATAGCTCCGCTGTAGTTCATCCAGTTTTTTCCATTAGCAATTTGATTTTTGAAAAGCTTGATATATATATTTTAAAAGACCAAAGCCTTTATTTCTGTGAATGTATGACTTATTTAAAATTGTCTGATTTTTTTTTTTTTTTTTTTTTTAGATTGTGTGCGATAGGTTTTCCTCTATGGAAGAGAATGGCTCGTTAGAGCCACTTTGGAGTTTACTGTGAAAATGGGTCTGTTAGCTGGAAGGAGGGATTGTGGGCGGAGTGTGTAAAGAGCTGCATAAATACGGTTGGTGCCTTTTGTCAAGTAAAGTGTCCAAACTGTGCCTCATTGTGGCAAGGGGACAGACCTCGGGTTCTGTCCACAGCATCGCATGGGGCTGTTTGCCTGAATATGAGGCCTTGACCTTGGTGTCAAAATTTGTTAGTTATTTATCAGAAACAGGCTTTGCTCTCTGTGTCAATGAAAACCATTGGCAGAGATGGGGAGGGATTGTCTCTGCCTCCCTGTGGAAGTCAGTGGTTGATTGGACAGGATATGCTGACAATCACGTCAAAGAAAGCAGTTGATTATTGGACGTGGAGATTTTTATTTTTTTGGGGGGGGGAGGCGCGGGGGGACAGACACTGTCTGGCAACTCGAATATCATTGCAAAAGTGCAGGATAATACATAATATTTTTGATGAAAGAGAATACTATTGGAGGTACTCTCAAGAGATCAGTACCAGTGGGGAAAAAATGTTTACCAGAATGGTTCTGCAGATGATTTGCAGTGGTGAAATATATGCAAGCGTGAGGTGACTTTACTGGAAGAGGGATTAAGTATCACCAAAGGCTCGGAAGATCGTCCTTCTGTGAGGCCCCGTTTGGGTGCCAGTCTGAAGGGGACAGTCGTGTGTTCAAACACTAACCGGCTTTGGTCAATCTGTGTTTCCCTCATTGGCCTGATGTGCTTTGGGGACGTACCATCGCATTTACAGACAGGAGCCTCGTGTGGTAGGAAATCTTTGGTGACCAAATAATTTATTTCAAGGATATGTTTTTATTTATTATTATTAATAGTAGCAGATGTATTCATTATAATTATTATAATAGCTAGCATTTTTCATCATAAAGTACAAATTTCCTACAGTTCACCTACAATATGCTTTCATTTCAGGATTCCTATAAATTGGGGCTGGATGTGGTCTAATATGGTTTCCCTAAAATATGTAATAAGTAATTTTTTTGTTAAGACAATTGCTAAAATTTCTCAGATTTTAGCAAGATTACTCTTAAAGAGTGTTTCTAGTAGTTTTGTAGTTGAAATAGTAAGCTCTGTAGTTTAAAACATTCACAAACTGTAGGTTATGTATGTGTCACTTTAAAACGAGTTTAAAAAATCCTGATTGTTCCCCTGGTTTGTTTTGCACAATTGAGGCTTGTGGTTTAGAACGTGCCCTTCCAGTCATTATGTGATACTGGCCTGTACTGGATTTGGGGATCGGTGGGTGAGGGATGTTGTAACACTAGACGTTTTGTAGTGAGGTGGGACACCTCTTCATCCCGTCTGGATCCCACACGGCTGGTGAATGATGAGGTCTCAAGGAATGCGCTTACCTAAGCCATCTGACCTGTCTACTCGAATTCTGGTCCTGTGCCTGTACAGTCATAGATGTTACATCTCTGTAAAACACATGACAAATGTTACTCTCTGATTCAGTTGCGCTTGTTACATTCGTTGCACACGTTTATGTATTGATATGTACGTGTGATATTTATGGAAGTGCGTACATATGTGCATAAGGAAAAAATGCAGCTGTCAACATCAGGCTACAGGGAATCTGGGGGCCTGAATTTTACTCCTCCTAATACAAGCTGTCGTGACAAAAACGTTAACTGGTTACCAATGCAATAGGTTTTTGTATAACTTAAGTAGTTGGGTTTATGGTTTTCTGTTTCCGCAAATGTATGGAGTCAGTATATTCATATTTACGTTTTAATTTCCCTGAGGCAGATTTTCATATTGTTGTTGTTTTGATTTGGTTTAATCATGTATTGTTTAATACCACCTTCTCTTTGTAATGTTTAAGGACTAAAGATGGTAGGGGGGAAAAGATTTCTACCTGAATGGCAACTTGGTGGGCTAAGACCACCGACTTGTATTAAAGTCTGAAAAACATAATACTGTAGCATATGTAAAATAAAGGCAACAAATTTATTTAAAATAATTCAGTATTGTTTTTTGGTTTGGGGGGGAAAAAAATAATTTTTGTAAGCATATTTTGTTGAACTATAAATAAAATTATATTTTAACAGCTGATAAAGATGTGCCGTTTTACTACTTTCCTAGTAGTTCTCTCAAATAATTTATTATTATTAATAATATAATTCCATCTGAATGATGTAAATGATTGTATAATAGTGTTTCGAGTTGTTGTGGTTCCAGTTGGTCAGAAGAGGGCAGCAGAAAGCAAGAGAGCTGGGTTCGTGCAGAAAGCGATCGCGACGACGGCCGCCTCACACCTGCTGCACATTTATCCTGTAAGTCTATATATAAACCGCACGCCGGTGGTGTGTGATGTAAACCCCGGAGGTGCAGCGCAGCTCCTGAGCAATGCACTGCCTTCTGTTTGCAGTTGTGATAATCTCACAATATGCATTGAGCCAGACCTTTCCGTTTGGATGCAGCCCCTACTGTCGGATTGCGTAACCCGAGGTATGATTACATTTCACTTTTCGGGAGATTTAAATAGCAACAGCTGGAAAGGGAGCCCGTCCTCCTGGCCGGCGAAGGAGTCTTTAAGGCGGCCTGATCGCCGGCCCGTGTGTTTCTCTCTCCCGCAATCTGTCAGAGCTTCGTGACTCTCTCCTCCCCCAGTCCTTCTGTACATTTTTGTATTTTTATCTCTGAACGCAAGTCCCGGTAAACAGACTCCGATCGCACTTAGCAAACATCCCCTCTTTGCTGCGATTTTTATTTTTATTATTTGTTTTAATAACAGGAGCGCAACCTATTCGTGTCGGCTGCCACCTGCGATCGCAGGATGAAACCTGCTGGCTGCGCGTAAAAGTGGCGGCCGCTAAATTTAAACCCGGCGCAGTAAAAGCCGCCGTCTTTCGGGCTGTTTCGCCGTCACCACCGGCCAGATCTGCTTGCCGGATACCGGGGGCCCCCACGCCCCGACTGGCCCCGCAAGCCGAGACGCGGAGACCCCGTGTGAGCGGACAGAGACGCGCAGGCTGGGCGCGCGCGGCGCGGCACCATATGGGCCGCCATGTAGGTATCTGGCAGCGCTTGGTGTGAATGGTCAGGCGTCAGTCACCCAGTTTTCCGCGACCGGCGTAGGTTACCATAGAGACAGATGGCGATGCCTGTCATTGAGATGGGGGGTTGGGGTGGGGGGTAACCATGAGCCACCTATATCTGCAACAGAAATTCAGCCTGGCTCACCTCCTGAAAAGCAACTGGCTGGAGAAGCGGCGGCGAGCCAGCGTGAACGCTGTTGCACTTACTATTCATCATCACCATCATCATCATTAATAAAAATAATCTATTGTTGCTTTGTTATATAAATACGTATATATATCATAGTCATAATTGTAATATGCAAGGCCTTAGCATTGCTTTAGGTCCTCTGCACCAGTTAAGCGTAATAATATGGGGATATCGATTATAAAATATCCCCGGATCAGCCTCTTTTTGTGTCACTGAGCCAACGATGCCTTATGTACGTGCGCTTTCAGCCTGAGCAAACTGAAATTGCTAATTAATTAAAGCGGCGATCGAGATCGTGAATTGAATTACAGTATTCGTTAAGGCGGCATGCAAATTAATTGAAATTGACAGCGGAATGTGTTAATCAAATTACAAAATATTAAGCTTCGCAGGTCTTGGCTGGTGATTTAAGCATCTTGAGATTTTGCACTGTGTGTATGTGTTAGGGAAATAACTTTGTGCATTTAAATATACTCCATGCATTCATCTATTAATCGCTTATCCTGGTCAGAGTTGCGGGTTTCAATAAAGCTTTTTAATTTAATGTAGTTTGATAAAAAACAAAAAAACATCTCTTTCTGGATCTGGGTGATTTCAAAGAATGAAGACCAGTCGGGATTATTAAATGACTTCCATGTGATTATTCTATGTTAATACCTCACATACACCTGTTCTGTCTTAGGCATGCATTTTTACCTGGCCAGTGAGTCAGATGGGCACCCTTGGGGGGGGAGGGGGTGGGGGGACATGTGTTCACATGACTCCATGTAAACAGAAGTCGGTGAGGGACCTCCGACCGCCCCGGAAAGGATGACCTGCATGGGAAAGTTCTGGAAACTGTGCAGGCAGCTTAGGTCCCATCTGAAACTGGGCGAGGAGAACTCCCCGTTCCTCATGGTGCCGCCCTGCCCTTCAGGGACCCAGGTTCCCTCCCGGAGCTCCGCCCCTCTTCCCACTGGCATCTGGCAACGCCCAGTGAAAATGGAGGAGCAAAGCTATGGTGAATTCCCGAGGAACCGGTGAAGGATGCCCACCTCCAGCTAGGCCTACATCTGTGAGCCAGCCAGATTCGCTTTCTGGGGGGGGTGGGGGTGACAACACACTGACTGTGCTCACCAAAGGAACCGAATAACATGATTAGCCTTGAGATCTGCCTCCATGTCTCCAGAGGCAGGTTGGGAACCTTAATCGGGCGTAAACGCGTTCCTAAGGATGCCCATTGGATGGAATGTGGCTTGGTGTAAACGCGTTCCTAAGGACGCCCATTGGATGGGATGTGGCTTGGGTGGGTGTCTGGTCAGCTCAGCACCTTCCCACACCGATGACACGGCCCCATTCCCTGCTTCTGTGTTGCCCCGCCCCCCCGGCTCAGAGGCAGCGTAGATCGCATCGCTGACTCCGTGTCAAGCTCCTTCTCGCCGCATCCCACGCGGCCCAGTTCTTGGGGACGGCGGCGCGGATACACCAAGGAAGACACAATGGGCTGGCTGTTGTTTTTTTTTTTTTTTTAGGTAGTGCGGAGAGCTTCCTGTCATGTGACCTTTCTGATGGAACTGCACAGGTCAGGTATCTTACTCTAGGGTCCAACAGCAGCATCTTTCCTGAGATGTGAACCGGCAACTGCTGGGTTATTTTGTGTTTCTAACCTTCAATCAGGCAATTTGTTTATTAATCTGCATCCAAAGCATTCCTGATAGGATGCTATATTACCCTCAGCGCCAATGTCAGATGTCTCATTATGGTACAACAGCAGTACCACGGGGTTAGCTCCTTAATGCAGTGGCCCCAGACATCTGTGATGTCAGGAGGCAGCTGAAGCCACCGTGGTTTCTCGTGGGAGGCAGAGTGATGTCACCGTTGAGCTATTGAGCTGTCAGACCACAGTCAATCTAAGGGTTAAAATTTACGGCTGGACAAGAAATGATCGCCGGTGGCGTTTAAACATCTTTTTTCCTGACAATTTTTGATTGTAAAAAACGGATGACCGCCGTCTAAAATGTACTGAGTGTCAGAACACGGACGGATCTTTCTCACACTATACGGCCGACGGGCCAAACCGGGGCGACCGTGACCGCGAGCGAGAGCGAGAGCACGCCCAACCATGGGCGTTTTATTACCGGCGAGCGAAAAGCGTCTCTCCAGGGTGCGTGGTGTCCAAGTGCCCTGTCAGTTAGAGAGCGCGGCATGTAAATGAAATAGCCCCGTTAATTAGTAATTAACATCGAGTTAATGACAATGTCACAGTGTCGCCCGTCTCAGTGATTGTCCTACCTCTGAGGTGGTGGGGTGGGGGGGCAGCTGAGGATCCACGAATGCTGATTAGCGGCCGTCAGGGTGCAGTGCTGTCCTGTGAGGCGACGCTTGTGTCTTAACAGAAGCACTCCCCCCCCCCCTCAAATAATAATAATAATAAGCCTTGAACCCAAGAGCTATGAAGCTGCAAAGAAAGTCAGAGGCATTTTTTATTTTTTATTTTTTATTTTGGGGGGGGGGTAACAAAAAAGCCCAGTCCCCTCGCCAACGCGAAGGCAGTGGTGTCTGTGGCTTGGAGCCGCCCTCCCTGGGGTGAGCCCCCCCTAGTGGCCGGCAGCAAGCCCGCGATATGTTTATTTCTGTCAATTAAGCCCCGTCAGCTGTTTGCCTCCTGCTCAACATATGGTTACCGTTAAACATAAAGTGCAGTGGCCCAGCCGATGGCAGGGGGCGGGGGGGAGGAGGGTACCATTTTAATGGCACCCTTCGGGACCCCACCTCCACACCTGCGCACGAGGCATAAACCAGAGAGTGTAGCCGCGGCCAGATGAGATCCATCCTCACTGGGATCCGTCATTAATGCTAATCCATGTCCATCTCAGTGCCCCCCCCCCCCCCACCATAACCCTTTCCACACGCTGTCAGCGTCTAGCTGCTCGGACATGTGACACTCAATTAGCGCGATTATGGGATGCGCGTTGTTCCTCGTTCCATGTTTTTCCCCTGACGTTTAACTAAACAAACGCTCCTCTTCAGATTCCCCCGGATATGGCAGATTGTGAGTATGATTCCTGACAGTGCGCTAAGTATCTGAAGCACCATACGTAAGAATACACACAGGACAAGCGAGAACATATCAGCATATTCAGACTACGTGCGTATTGCATGTAAGGTCCAAAGCACCTCTTCGAAAATATAGCAACATGATATTTGATGCATGATAAAACTGTCAACTTTTTTTCCACAATTTACAAATTTATGCCAATGCCCGATCCTGCGAGAAATATAGCGTTTGGTCTTTTTGTAATAGTTTTGAATTCTTAACAATTAGGGCAAATATGAATGTAAGCACATCCTGGTCATTCTGTACCCCAGTCCTGTGCCCCGTGCTGACTGGGGTTCGCTCCAGTGCCCCCCCCCCCCCCTCATAACTCTGAGCAGGATGAGACGTTAGAAAATAGATGTAGGAACCGTAAGTGAAAGTAGGACGTGAATGATGTGGTCAAAATACAGCCTAAATAAAAAGCAAGGCTGTGATTCAGGAGTGTGCAGGACAGGGCAGCTCGGGGCGGCTGGCCAGGCCACTTACACGGGTCTTGAACCCTGATTCATCGTCGGAACCCATGTTAAAACTCACGTTTTATGACTGCTCAGTAATAAAATTAGCTTAAAAAGTTAAACAGAAATGTTTAGCTTATAAATACCCGTCAAGTTCTCGTAGCTAATCATTTAGTCGGTTTAATGATTCTTACAAAAACA